GAATGCTATCTCCTGTTGGCATAATAAGATTTGCTATTTAAATCCTGGTCAAAGGTTACCTTTCAAGAAGGCCTCATTAAATGTCACAGAGAAGTTGCCCTTGAAGTGTGGTCGATCTGTTGATCAGTCTAAGTGACAACAGCTCAACCTTTGAACCTAACGAAGGGTTTAAACAAAGTAATCCAGTTTCTCTCTCTCCATGCTGACATACCACTCAATGTGAACGCCCCTGTGAACAATGTTTAACATCAGTGTCAATTTAACCCAAGAGCTGAAGGTCAAAGTAGGGAAGATGCTTGAAGGCAACATCAATCATTTTTATTATCATGTCAATATGAGTAACTTTGACATAATACAACTTTGTATGCTATAGGAGCAGAGATAAAGGTATAACTCATTTGCAACAAATGCATACAAGTTGTTATGCATGTTTTATTAAGTTACGACTATGCTTCTTAGATAAAGTTGTTCCTGCAGGTATTTTTTGAGTGGTTTTGTTAGTACTTAAATCATAATTGCAGTCCTAATCATTAAACTCAAGATATACCCCAGTGTTTAAACAGAGTAAATTAGTAAAATGGTGTCCTCCAGTAAGCGTGTTTTGGATGCCTTTCCTCTGCGGCAATAAGTGGGGGAAAAATCGATGACATGTAAAGCCTGTGCTAATATATGAGATTTAAGGGAGCTCCTTAAAGGGGACATATTATGCAAAATCTACTTTTTCATGTCTTTTATACATAAACATGTGTCCCCTCTGTGCAAAGAGATTCTGAAAGTTTCAGGAAAAAAGATTCACTCACTTTTTGTCCTGATCCATTTATATAAAAACCTGTCTGAAAATGTGCTGATCAGATTTTTGGCTTGTGTATTAGCCAATAACCAACCAAGGTAACCCCCCCCCACCTTATCACCTGAATCTCCTCCTAGAGCACCATTGTGTTCTTTTTAACCAAATATCTCTCAGAGGGGCGTGGGGAGTGGCTCCTTATTTTCATCTAAAGTAACAGACAGAGAATCAGCCCTTTTGAAACAGGGCTGAAACAGAGGGGATTATGGGATGCTACAATGATCTGTTTGGTATTTCAGCCAAACACTTCAGAGACCTGTTTTGTATATATCTGAGACCTATAATAAAGAAATGAAAAACAGTATAATAGGGGACCTTTAAAAAAGGCGTTGTAAACCGGATCAGACACTAAAGGTGTTACATGCTTGGTTTTGTGGTTTGTGGATCTTTGTGCAAAGACATACAATCCAACTAGAGTTCAATAGAAAATTATGATTATGCCTTAAGAATCCAACCTCAGCCCAACTCACATTTTAATAAACCGTGTGATGTCCCCTCTGGAAAGTTTGTATTGATCTCCTCTTCACAATTGCGCATTGTGCCCAGCGGACTGAGTTGTGTGATAGGGCTAGTTTGCCTGCACATGTCAAAATCAATACTTGTGATGAAAACTGAGGACAGGAAAGCATATGTTGCAATTTGTATTCACTGAATTGAAGAGGTTCTGAGCTAAAGGTTTGTGAACACCTTCAGTTTTGTAGTGGTCAATCTTTTGTTGTGTTCAGGGGATGTTTATTCTTAAGGCTGAGATATGAGCCAACTGTGTTCACTGTGCTGAGCAGTGTTGACTCATCATCCATGACACTGTTAAATCATTAGCATATTTCAGTGAACAGCTATCTGCATTAATTAAATGAGCTGGTCCTGCAGTACAGTGAGTAAGCTGGTGTTACAGGGGTGGGGCTAATGGATATGTGGCAAAATATGATCATGTTATCATTTGAAAAACATCACCGTTACAACTAAAAGCAAAAACATTATACTGCACCGAAAAACTCCCCTCCATATCCTCCTTTATTGCACTTTAGCCATACCCCTTTAGGCAACAGTTAACAACAATGATAAGTAGCCGACCACACACAGTCACCCAAGCAACTAACTGGCTTAATAGTGATTATTATTTCAACAACAATAATATTTTAGTATTATCAAAATATTCATAAAGACTGGCATGCTTTGCCTCATTCATAATTGATCATCCCTTGAAGGTACTCATCATCATTTTGTCCCAAAATACCTCATTAAGATCTTTAACTTTACTAATATTACTGAAAGAAAATAGTTTTACTAGAACACTGTCTGCATTATGAAATACAAAAAAAAAAACACTCCAATGGGTGATGGCAGAAGGACCCTCTCTAAAGACATTTAGAGAGGGTCGATTTGTGGACTTTAATTTCACTTTTATTTTCCACAGTTGATTTCCAGTTTCCCTATCAAATTAAATTATGGATTTGGATCCTATTCTCATTTTCAACAGAAACGGAACGAGCTTAACGATTGAATAGGAGATTTTATAATTAAGAATTACACATTTTAATTAGCCATCCTCTATTTGTCTGGTAATGAGGATCATTTAAATCCTGTATTGCAGACAAACAGGGCATAATTGTCTTTTTGGGCCATTTCTATTCTATGCAGGCCTTTTGGGTCCTAATTGAGTCCTTGAGCCTTTCGAAAGAGAGTGCTTCAATAGCAATAGTGATGCTAATAATGTAACAGTTTGGAGAACGAGCGCTCCATCATCCTGTTTGCTGAATGTATAAACCAGCAAGCACCTTTGTAATGACACCTGTATGGGTCGTTTGGAACCACAGTTCCATTCTTTGCTGCCTATCCTCCTCAAATGTCCAACACTACTTCCCCCTACAGTGAATGGTACTGATACTGCAGTGTGTATCAATCATCCAACAGATGCGTTTGGTCCATTAAAGTTTGTGTTCAAAGGCACATTTTTTATAATTGTCCTGACTTTTATTTCAGCTAACTATTCAAGCATGATAATTCAAGTTGGGGATGGATGAATGTTTGCTAATAAATTAGAACTTTTTTTAGATCTTACATTAGATTGTGTTGAAAGACTAATCACAAGAAAGTGAAAATTGCCCCTATGTTCAACATAATGTCAGACATTATAATTTAACCAGAAGTAAGAGCATTTGATCACAAATAACCGCACACTCTCCTATTTTTCTTGGAATATCAACCATCAAAGTCCCTCAGTAGTTTTGAGCCAAACATAAAGCTTGTCCCCACCAAATATCAAAGCCCGGTCGAGGCTTTCAGTCGACGCATGGCATTTTGCTCATCATGAGCCACTCGCCTTTAGTTCTTGCCTGTAAATTGTTGTTATGAAAGGGTAGGTGTTTTTGCAGACAGGGACCAATCTCAGTTGTGCTCACAGAGCCTGTCTGAACGCATCGAGCGTTCCCTCTCAAAGCACCCCCCCCCCTACCTCGCTGCCTGTAAGGTCCTATATCTTCATGCCTCACTAAAATGTGAGCGTATTCTCGGACACGCACTCTGTTCAGAGGATTGGGCTTGTATGATTTAGTGCGTGAGTGCTTTTGATATCTACTGGCTGTATTGCTCACTTTGCAGCGCTAAGCCCCGGTCACATACACAACTTCCTCCCTGGGGACAGCACAGTAAACTGTATCCCCTTGCCAATGCCCTCTATGCAAAACATGTCAAATAGAAAATCTATCATTCACACAAAACATTGAGTTCCTTGGCTGCTTTGGAATAGCAGCGTTTTCCTTTAATGTATCTACCCTGCTGCTCTGACCAGTAATTATTTCAGTTTCCAAAATAGAGCCTGTCTGCATTCACACAGATGGATGTCAGTGAGCGGCCATGAAGGCACGAGAGGCGAGAGAGCAGATTTATGGGGCACGATATTCTCATTTTGCTCGCAGCTGTTGTACACTTTCTGGGCTCATGGTTTCCAAGACATGATTGAACTTGAATGTACTTGGCCATACATAAAGGTCAGTGCTTGTTGTATAAACATGGCACGTAAACAGTTGTATAATGCACCTTTAAGCCTCTATATAGGTGAGACTGAGTCATTTGGATTTCGTAGCCTAAGTCCCGTTTTGTGTCTGAGTGAAGGAATACATGCACTGAAGAAGAACACATTGCACTACAAGCAAGCAAGAAAAAAACATGCAAAGTGCCAAAAGAGCATGCCAACAGTTGTCAGTTTTAATGTTCCGAGCCGCGCTGAGCATACGAAGTTTGAGCTGTGCCGCTGCACATGTCAGCTCATCCTAATCCAGAGAACGATAGGAAGACGACAGCAGTCACAGATTGAGACACTGTAACATTTTGGAACAAAAATGAGTTACATGTTCCCATGGAAAACTGGACAGGATGTGCAGAAGGCTGAATGAATAAAAATAATTGAATAATTCATCAGTCAGTTTGTCTAAAATCGGACTCAAGGTTTGACAGACTGTGCTTGTCTGTACATGTCTACTTCACTTTTTTTCTTTAAATGTAGAATACATTAGCCTCCTATCAAACATTTAAATAGTTAGCAGTTGATAATACAGAGGTATTACATAACTTCAGCTAGAGACTTTGGAAAGCCTCATAAAAAAGAGAATGAAAAGAAGATTTGTGATAGACCTCACGGCACAATATATTGAATATATCTGGAATCCAATATTGTATAACTGCCATAAACATAACTGTATTTAACATTCAGTGGCAGAATAACAACACCAGCAGCATCAACACAGTGTAGGCTGAGCTGAACTTCTCTCCAACTTAAAAAACAACACTCTTATTTACAAAGTATTGTTCCAGGGCTTTACAGAAGCGGAGTGCACGAATCCTGGTGATGCCGTGTCCACCCCCCTGTACCTGTCCTCAGGCACCTCACGACATTCAAAACAAACACGCTCAAATGAAATGTCTTCCAATGCTCTTTAAATGTGGTTAAATGATCACCTCCTGAATGAACTGTGACACTAATTCACTTAGTGCAAAATGTCAACATTGTGCTTGCAACAAATTTCACTCCGATCAGTCTCCATGCAGGTCTAATGAGTCCTGACATTAACAGAGCCCAAAGCCCTCCTCCGACACTCCTGCAGCCCACTCTTCTCTTTATTAGAGGCTCTCCTCAGCTCCAGTCTTCAGAGCAGCCGGCGCACAGTCAGCGCAGCTCTCTCCTGAAGCTTCAGAGCGACGGGAGTTGCTGCTTTTTCACACATTTTCTTGGATATACCATCATCTCGCCAAAATGAGACTTATTTATGTTGCTGTCTTGGTTGCGGCTTTGTTGACAGGTAGGTTATTATTTTCTTCTTCAGTGCTTTGAGTAAGTGTGCGCAGTTCAGGACCATGGACAGAGACACATATTTTTCCTTTACTTCAGTGCATGCAATCCTTTTGCAGGTTGACTAATTCTAACATTTTTCTAATGCAGAAAATCTAGCGCTTCCAGTGGGAAAAGAAGGGCAGAGAGAAGATGTGGTATGTTCTTTTTCAAAGGCAATTTGACTAAGTTCAAAACAGCAGCTATTCAGACAAGAAGGCATTGAAGAGCTTCCTATTGACTAGTTGTTATTTTATTGCAGGTCACACGCTGTTTGGTGGAAGTCCTCTCCAAAGCTCTCACCAAACCGGACTCCAGGCTGGACCAGGAATGCAAAGGCATTCTCCAAGCAGGTTTGTAGCAGGAGCATATTTAATCATGAAATACCTTTGTTGATGCAGCGCTCTTTTAACTGTCAGTTGATTGAGACTTTGAATAGCTGGTAGATTTGAAAAAAGTATGTATTTTTAACCAACTTGTAACAGAAATAGAGTTAAAAACATTGCTTAAAGCTTCAAGGCAAAGAAAAGAAAAGAGACATTATAAAACATTCGGGGGATCTTCAAATGATTTAAATGCAAACCAAAATAACTACGAAGTAATTGATGAAATCTTCAATCACAAGACGAGATTCAACCTAAAGCTTATACTTAAAGAATCTTTACACACCTTTAAATGTATCTTCTTTTCTGTCTTAGGGGTTAAACATGCCCCACTGGACAAGAAAAGTGGAGAGGGGATAGCAACTCATGGAGAGCTGGCCATAGGTCAACCCGAGGAGCCTCAGGCGAAGGGAACCGATGTGAAAGACATCGAAGCTTTCTTGAAAACCGTTGAGGAAAAAAGAGAAATCCCAGAAGACGAGCGCAGCCAGGAATCCTGGAGTCTTGGTGACGAGAAGGAGAAGAGACACGAGAACGAAGAGGAAGAACAGCGGGAGAAGAGGAGCGGCTGGAGGCCTGGGAGGTACCACCAAAAGAAACACAAACGAGACCAAGAAGAAGTAGAGGGGGAGGAGCCAGAGGAAGAGCGTAGCCAAGAGTCCTGGGATGTAGACAAAAGGAACGGGGGCGAGGACGAGCAGGAGATATCAAAGCGCATATGGAAACCAACACATCGTTATCACCACAAGAAAAAGTTCCACAAACGTGGTGAAGAGGAGGAAGAAGGTGGCGAGCGCAGCCAGGAATCATGGGGTCTTGATAAGAGGGGCTGGAGGCCAGGAAGGTACCACCAGACACGACACAGACGTGATGAAGAACTCGCAGAGGAAGCCAGGGAAGAGCCAGATGAAGAGCGCAGCCAGGAATCATGGGATCTTGATAAGAGGGGCTGGAGGCCAGGAAGGTACAGCCAGAGGAGACACAAGCGTGATGAAGAACTCGCAGAGGAAGCCAGGGAAGAGCCCAATGAAGAACGCAGCCAGGAATCATGGGGTCTTGATAAGAGGGGCTGGAGGCCAGGAAGGTACAGCCAGAGGAGGCACAAGCGTGATGAAGAGCTCGCAGAGGAAGCCAGGGAAGAGCCAGATGAGGAACGCAGCCAGGAATCATGGGATCTTGATAAGAGGGGCTGGAGGCCAGGAAGGTACAGCCAGAGGAGGCACAAGCGTGATGAAGAGCTCGCAGAGGAAGCCAGGGAAGAGCCAGATGAGGAACGCAGCCAGGAATCATGGGATCTTGATAAGAGGGGCTGGAGGCCAGGAAGGTACAGCCAGAGGAGGCACAAGCGTGATGAAGAGCTCGCAGAGGAAGCCAGGGAAGGGCCCGATGAAGAACGCAGCCAGGAATCATGGGGTCTTGATAAGAGGGGCTGGAGGCCAGGAAGGTACCACCAGACACGACACAGACGTGATGAAGAACTCGCAGAAGAGGCCAGGGAAGAGCCCGATGAAGAACGCAGCCAGGAATCATGGGATCTTGATAAGAGGGGCTGGAGGCCAGGAAGGTACCACCAGACACGACACAGACGTGATGAAGAACTCGCAGAAGAGGCCAGGGAAGAGCCAGATGAAGAACGCAGCCAGGAATCATGGGATCTTGATAAGAGGGGCTGGAGGCCAGGAAGGTACAGCCAGAGGAGACACAAACGTGATGAAGAACTTGCAGAGGAAGCCAGGGAAGAGCCAGATGAGGAACGCAGCCAGGAGTCCTGGGGTCTTGATAAGAGGGGCTGGAGGCCAGGAAGGTACAACCAGAGGAGGCTAGGAAGGTACAACCCGGAAGTTATAACCAGGAAGGTACAACCAGAAGAAGCGCGAGATGAGCCTGAGGAAGAGCGCAGCCAGGAGTCCTGGGGTCTTGATAAGAGGGGCTGGAGGCCAGGAAGGTACAACCAGAGGAGGCCAGGAAGGTACAACCCGGAAGTTATAACCAGGAAGGTACAACCAGAAGAAGCGCGAGATGAGCCTGAGGAAGAGCGCAGCCAGGAGTACTGGGACTTTGACACTGGAAGAGACAAGAGAGAGTGGAGGGCGGGCAGGTTCCATCAGAAGAGACCCAAACGTGAAGAGGAGCTCTCGGATGGGGAACGCAGCCAGGAGTCCTGGGGCTTAGACAAAAGACAGGGAACAGAAGAGGAAGGAATAGAAAAGCGTATATGGAAACCGACACATAGATACCACCATAAGAAGAAGTACCATAAACGTGGCGGAGCATCAGAAGAAGAAGAGGGAGAGCAGATGGCTGCCTCTGAGGATTATGAGGAGGCGGGAAAGGACGGGGACGACGCAACAAGGTACTTCTATCTTTTGTCACATTGAAAAACTTCTACTCTTTATTTATGCTAGTATGTATTCTGAGTGTTTCTACCAGTGAATCCCCCATGGTTAATACGGTAGGATTTTTAACTAAAACCACCATGAAACTTCCCCAGTTGATTTGTTTCCCATAAGACAACTCTTTTTTTTAAATTTTCCCCCTAGGTAAAAACCCTAATCATGAATAAAGGAATGAGATTGGAAAGCTTGTTGAGATTTCTGGCTCAAAAAGCAGGAACAAAAATATTGAGAAACCGCCTTTGAACATGTCCTAAATTCTGCAGACTTAGGATGAATATGCTAAGACATTTGACTAATTCATATCACCATGAAACTTCCCTAGTTCCCTACTAATATTAGGACAATCATTTATTTGGATTACACATTTTCTGATATGTTTTGTTAGAATATGTAAATGAGGCTTTATAATGCGAACTGTGAGTGTATGAGATATCTACAGATGTGAAGAGTAAAACAATCACCGAAAGTTGTTTTGGGGATGTTTTCTTTCTATTATTCAGATAGAAGACATGTCATGGACGCAGAATAGCCTAACATTTCTTTCATAATTGACAATCAAGGTTTTTACCTTGGGTGCTTTGTCTCATTTGAATTGGATAAGCTCATTTATCAGTGTACACGCACGCGCTGGCAGTACAACGGTCGGTGGAACAGCATCTAATGTGGGCTATTTTTCAGGTATCTGGCAGAGAAGCCCAATCCCTGGATTTACAGAGGTTTCTACCATCCTGCATGGTATAAAAGGGATTCAGTTGAGCATACAGCAAACTCAAACAAGGTAGGTATACAGTCTGAAACAGAAGTAGCAAATGGCTGTAGTTTAGAAACAGTTATGTGAACATGCAGATTGAGGACATTTGATCTTTAAATCAACGTTTTCTCCTCCATTATGAAGTACATTGTCAATTACCTGGAAGGTTTTGATTAGAAAATCCTTATTTTGGCCTACATTTTGCAGTTTAGATATTATCTGATTCTACTTTGTTGTGTTCAGATGGACGAACTGGCCAAGTTGCTGAGCTATAAGATAGACCAGCTGGCCAGCCAATCAAACCAAGAGGAACCAAAGAAGAGCATGCACCAGAGAGTACTCACCCCGCGGGAGGCAAGAAGCGTTTCAAATAACCACGAGAACAAATTATCTTTATAAGGATTTATTAGCTGTCATGTTTACTTTGTTAAACTGCTAACTATACCACTTAACCCAAGTGAAAATACAATCTTATAATATTGTTATTTATGAAACTACGTAGAAGCCAGGATTCAGGTATTAAAATGCAAGCAAATCATAAACACTTAAATTCCAATAATCCGCCCTGATAGATCTTTGAGAATATAACTATTTGTACATGAAAAACCAACTGTGATCCATCATTTAAAAAAACACTTTACTCTGTGGGTTTTCCATAAAACTCTACCCCCTATATATTTTGAGCTGACCCAGTGAAGCACATCAATTGCCTCCACCACAGTTTCACTGGGAGGAAAAAGCAGCAATGCTCATTATGGAAATCTCTACTCTTCATGGAGATGTCAGGGTTTAGCCTTCAGAACCACAGAGCATCAGTGATTATGCATCTGTGCAAGTGCACATCAAGAACTGCCCCTCATGAGCATGTCACATAAAGAAGAGCAATGCATCCAGAATATTCATGGGCAGCGAGTCGTTTCTCCACTATGCAATACTTAACTCTAAAATCACTTCTTCACGGCACTTCTCTTCAACACTTGTCCCCTTTGTACTTGCACTTTCCACATCTAGCTTTTTATGACTGCTACAGTAATCCCACTAAGAACCTCATAATGATAGCCTCCGAGAGAAATCAAAGTGATAATATGTCCATTAAAAAGAGCGACAGCCTGTAGAGACCTCCTCCCTTTCTTGTCACTTTGAAGCAGAAAAAGGAGGTGTAGTAATATCAGCACTACAGCATCACGACTCGGGATAGGGAGGGAATGCTCAGCCTAAATTGACCCATTATGCAGATACTTGAGCAGGCTTGGGTAAACAAACCCAACATATGATAACTTAACCCTGATTTCTATTCTGTAAATGGTGGGGAAACTGTTCTATAATATGTCCATGTTGATGTTTTTCAGAAGGAGCTGGACAACCTAGCAACAATGGACACGGACCTGCAGGAAATCGCTGCCAAGTTGCATGACAACAGCACATAAGCCAAGATGGAAGAGCTGCTAGCTTACTGTATGTTAGCTAATTCAGTGTTTAAAAGACAAAAACATCCATCAAATCTGGAGCCTTGCCAAAAGCATTTGATCAACTTGCTTATCATAGTATTTGTGATATTTTGATGTATTGAAATGTAAAATTTGAAAATGATCCGCATGGGAATGGTTTTGATGTTTATATACATGTAATAAGAAAATATGAGATTCTAATATATCTGAGACAAATGACTCAAATTGTGTTCGAATGAGTTTGTTCAGTCTGCACTCAATAAAAGGAGTTATTCTGGGACCAAACAAATATCTCTCGAATCATTTAAAAAAAAGTGTTCACACATCGGGCTCATTAGTGCTTTTTTTATTCTGTGCAGGTACAGATGTATCCCACAGTGAAGCTGCATCATATAACAAATGGCACTTTCTGCGAAGATAACTAAATAAAAAAAACCTAGAGCTGCAAAACTTTAAAAATCAAAAATGTTATAAACTTGGTCTAGAGGTATCAGACATAATATAAGATGATTTCAGCAGTTCCTCACATAACACATAATCTGACCTCGTACTGCCCTTAGCGGGCTCATAGTTTACGGCTCAGCATTACGCCTTCCTCTGCACTGATCTGAATTCACAAGGAGAAAGTGCTCTGATGAATGCAGACCAGACACTCTGTCTTCCTTATTTCCACATGTGTCAAATCAGTTCAGCAGAAAGAGAAGTCAATGCTGGGGGAGAATTCCCTACGGGCTGTTGGTCATTTGCCCTTTGTTTGTTTATCCTTCGGTCACTTTCTGTCTCTTTGGCGCTGGTTCCTCATCTCGCCGCGAGGCTGCAGGTTTGGAGCGCTCCGCGGCGACCGTTGTTCCTGAGAGGAGGTAGCCCCCACCCCCACTCATCAGCAGCACAGGATGTGTCCTGTTAGGCAACACCTAGGGGCACAACACGTGTATATATACAGTCAGGAGACATTGATTCTACAGGAAGGGATGGTGGGAAATAACTTCAGTCCTGAGGGAGGACATAGAGTATGCAAACAGTGTTTACATCCAGTTGCTGCATCGTACACAGACATAAATAAGTGGGCAGTGAGAGCGAATGGAGTCTCTGCAATAATGGATCAGGAGGTGCTTATAGCAAATTATTGATGCAGCAAGGATGGAACAGAGAGGAGAGGAATTTCATTCTTTCTTTAGCATTCATTTAGGTACTTATTTATGGCTGAATCAAGTAGTGGATTGACAATTCCGATCAACTTAAAGTCATGCAAACATGCATAAGAGATGTTAGTATTAAACCTACAAAGATTGATAGTTATATAAAACCCCTTATAAGTTTGTATGCAAAAAATTAGCAAAGGGCTGCCTGATACAAAACCAAGCATTAACATTCATAAGGAGAAGTGTTTGTGTCCATAAGCCAAATGTAGGTCCAACATTCAGCCTTTCTTTTATCTCAAGCTTTTTTATTTGAAAACAGCCGCCTATTTTACCTACAACTATTAGCTGAGCTAAGGTAAACTGCACAGTTGATTGAACCGTCGTCTCATCCATTGTTTGTATTAAAATCTTGAGTAGACCAGCTTTAACAATATAGCTCAAACCTAACTCGGTGTAGACTTAGAGTTTAAAATGTACCTGATAATGTCTCAGCCAGTAGTCTGTGAGCTTCAGGTTGACCGTACCGCCTTGTTCCTTGAGTTTTGTGTAGCACTCGATAAGACACTGCAGAGATATGATCGAGAAGAGATGAAGGAGAATTAAGAGCATTCAACAAACATACACAGGGGGATCACAGGTAATAATAGCAAGGACTTGATAGTAACTTGTTGGCAGTGACAGGAGGCAGTTATGTAATAAGGACGTTTCCCGCTGGAGCTCTAAGCAATACAAATCCTGTGTGCAGCTAATGAGAGCTCTTTCTAAGATAACTAATTATCCTTCTTCAGGGGGGACATCAAACTTGTTTTTGTGGCTCCGGTAAATACCCCGAGCCGTGATGATGTTACCTCTTTGTATTGGGAGTAGACCACAAAAGGCCTGGAGGGGGAGAGGAACTTGAGCAGGGCCATGAGGACTGGACACGGGTTAAATCGGCTCGCTATAACCAACCTGCACATGGGGAACAAAACAGATGTTCAGGCAAACCTGTCCAACATGAAATACACTGTAAACCGTACACTGTGTTATTGGAAATGTGGATGTAGGCAATTGGAATTTAGCTCTGCTGTGCTGCATGTGAAGGATGTCGATTTAATGCCTATTGTAGACATTCATTTCAGATGTTATGAGGCTGGATATGAGTCGGTGAAAGAGGCAGATTTATAGAATGCAAGAAAAGCTGTGGTACTGTTTATGGTATAGCTGCTATGATGTAGAAAAAGGAAAGTCAATAGGCTAACCAGATCAATACTATCTCTGGCTCATATGTTCCTCACAACCCTTCATCCATCAATCATAAACAGCAATAAAGCAAGTCCTTCATTAATATATGACAGGGAAGTGCTAAGCAATTACTTTGTTCTCCTTATGAGGGCACCGTGAGCTCGGAGGAAGACTTTTATGGAGATACTTAACAACACTCCAATCATTCATCACTTTTTCATCTCTGTAGATCCATATTAATTACTGTTGTTAACTACACAGCGCCATCTAGAAGTAATTAAGCAGAGGTGGGAGTGAAAGTGAAGTGGAAGAGTGTAGTGGATCAGAAATGTGGAAGCAGGATAAATCTGAGACTGACCCGTCGGCATTCCTGCCTTCCAGCAGGGAAGCAGCGGCTGCCAGCTTCTTCCGCTTCTCCTCCTGCTTCACCTTCTTTTCCTGAGCCTAAAACAAAAAACACACACCATGACGTCAGGGCTCTCTCCTTCAGATCCAACATACAGGATTATTCTTTTTGGATAGGCGTGAGTGGGGTTAGAAAATAGTGGGCATACTTTGGCTTCTCTGCGTTTCTCCTCCTCTTCTTCTTTTTTGGGGACAAGGCTTCCATCGGCAACACTGTTTGTCTCCATGCTCTGTTCCTCTGGACTGCCCTTCTGTTCTGCCTCAGTCTTCACCTCTGCCTCAGTCTTCACCTCTGCCTCAGTCTTCACCTCTGCAGCCATGTCGGACTCCTTTAAATCTGCATCAGAGAAAAGTCACACAATCTTAGTCCGTGTGGAGTTTATCAGTAAAACATGATGATAAAACTATGATGCAAAACGCAGCATTTGTGAACTTGTACCAGGGAAATATTTAGTTCTCTTTTGCATGGACTAGCAGTACTTGAGAATATATTTTTCAATACATAACAATGCAGGCTCTACCGGCGCTAGGATCTTTGGCAGTGGTGTCCAGAGTTCCTGCTATCAGAGCATTGAGATGGCAGATGGGAAACTCATGCAGCGTATCGTGAAAATGTGCAGGGAAGCCAAAGCTCTCCACACCCGCACGAACGGGCCCACCTCCTGGGTACATTTGGATCACTGAGCCGAAGCCTGGATGAGAAGGAAAGAGTGGGTAATTATACAAAAAGGGGACGGAATGGAAAAAAAAGAAATAGCTCATAATTTCAATGCCACAGAAAATGTCTCAGGACTGACGTACCTCCCATTCTCTCCATGACGGATCCCAGCACGAGGCCAGCACAAGTTTCAAACACCAGGACTTTACTGTTGGCGTGGATGTTTGCCAGAGTCAACATCTGGGCCAGGGTGTCATAGCGCAGGTGGCTGCATCACAGGAAAACACACACATGATATATTCATCTGTCTCTGCTGTGAAAAACATTCACACATGCTGTTATTCCACATGCTGACTCACCAGATCTTCCCTGGTTCCCGGCCATGGTACATCATGGCCAGGATGCGACAGGAAGGTTTAAGAATCGTCACAATATTTTCATACCTGGAAAAGCACAGGAGTGGGAACAACTGATAAAACTAATTACTGCAACCTAATTCATTTTAAAGTCTAAGGAAAATTGTCGATGCATCATCAGTAGTGACTCACTTCTTCTTTTTCTTCTTGATGTACTTATCCTGGGCATATTCAGTCTTATCTTTGAATGTCGAGCTGTTGTCTATGAGCTGCTGAATGATTTCCTGTGGAGCACATACACATATTGTCTCTATTCTCTCGTCTGTTAAACTTCAACATTTTATCTCATAATTTAAAAGACAAGGTTCCCATGACAAAGCAAAAACACGAATGCATCGGCCCATCTCTAAATCATTTTCCTCTTCCCTGTTCCGCCTGTAGCACAAAGTCTTAAATCATCAACAGTGGGTCACAAATAATTAACTTTCTCGAATTAAAAAGGTTGAGTTATTGAGTTATTTCTTGAAATAGCTGAGCACCGAACATAAATCAGACTTAATGGTGCAATTGTTGGGACTATTCTCTGCTGCGTATTAAAAGGCAAGGCAAGGCAAGGCAAGGCAAGGCAAGGCTATTTATATAGCACCTTTCAACACAAGGCAATTCAAAGTGCTTTACAAAAATGGAAGACATTATGAAAATGGCATTTAAAATCAGTCATTAAAAAGCAAAGATAATAAAATAAACATTAAAAGAAAAAATACATGGATAAAAGTTAAAAGTTACAGTGCAGTTTAAGATGTGAATAGTTCAATTAAAAGCAGCGGCAAAAAGAAAAGTCTTCAGCCTGGATTTAAAAGTAGTAAGAGTTGCAGCGGACCTGCAGGTTTCTGGGAGTTTGTTCCAGATATTCGGAGCATAATAACTGAATGCTGCTTCTCCATGTTTAGTTCTGACTCTGGGGACAAAAAGCTGACCAGTCCCTGAAGACCTGAGAGTTCTAGATGGTTCATAATTTAGCAGGAGGTCAGAAATGTATTTTGGGCCTAAACCATTCAGTGCTTTATAAACCAGCAGCAGTATTTTGAAATCTATTCTTTGACACACAGGAAGCCAGTGTAAGGACTTCAGAACAGGAGTGATGTGATCCACTTTCTTAGTGTTAGTGAGGACTTGAGCAGCGGCGTTCTGAATTAGCTGCAGCTTTCTAATAGATGTTTTAGTGAGACCTGCAAAGACACCATTACAGTAGTCCAGTCTACTGAAGATAAAAGCATGGACAAGTTTTTTCAAATCCTGCTGTGACATTAGTCTTTTAATCCTAGATATGTTCTTTAGGTGATAGTAGGCTGATTTAGTAACTGTTTTAATGTGACTGTTGAAACTCAGGTCAGAGTCCATGACTACACCTAGATTTCTGGATTTATCTGTTGTTTTGAACATTGCAGACTGAAGCTCAGCGCTAACTTTTATACGTTCTGCCTTGGCTCCAAAAACCATTACCTCAGTTTTATCTTTGTTTAATTGGAAAAAGTTCTGACACATCCAGTCATTGATTTGTTCAATGCACTTACTCAGTGTTTGAATTGGAGCATAATCTCCTGGTGAAATTGTTACGTAAATTTGTGTGTCATCCGCATAGCTATGGTAACTTATTTTGTTGTTTTTCATTATCTGAGCCAGTGGTAGCATGTAGATGTTAAAGAGAAGAGGCCCCAAGATGGAGCCTTGAGGTACCCCACATGTCATATTTGTCAACTCAGATGTGTATTTACCTATAGAAACAAAGTTTTTTCTGTCCTTTAAGTAGGACTCAAACCAATTTAGAACTGTTGCCAAAAGTCCCACCCAGTTTTCTAGTCGGTCTAGTAATATGTTGTGGTCAACAGTGTCAAACGTAGCACTGAGATCTAATAATACTAACACTGAAGTTCTGCCACTGTCTGTGTTTAAGTGGATGTCATTGAAGACCTTTACAAGAGCAGTCTCAGTGCTGTGGTTTGGACGAAATCCTGACTGGAACACATCCAAACAGTTATTTAAATGCAAGAAGTTACTCAACTGTTGAAATACAACTTTTTCAATGATTTTACCTAGAAATGGCAGGTTTGATATTGGCCTGTAATTGTTCATTACTGAAGCATCTAGATTATTCTTTTTTAAGAGCGGTTTAATGACTGCAGTTTTCAGGGCCTCTGGAAAAATACCTGAGTGAAGAGATGTGTTTACTATATGAAGTAGATCTGAGGCCATGCAAGGAAAAACATCTTTGAAAAATCCTGTAAAACACATTGTCTCTACAATGAACAGTGTACGGCTATTCCCTTAATTTAATTACGGTGTTAATTTTCATCATAATAAAAGAACATGCCCTTAACACTCACTTATGTTTACCTAATCGTTTTTGTTCAATCAATTGATTTACAATACTTATACGCATGCTCCATTTATGTTTTTTTCATGAAATTTCGATGACAATAAAAACTAAATTAAAGGTGGGGTAGGTAATTTTGGAGAAACCAGCTCGAGTGCGCTAGAATTTGAAAATACACAACCGGAAAAAATCTGCCCTCATTGGTCATGTGCACGTTCGTGTGTGTTGGAGGAGGGGCTCTGTAAGGAAGTGGCAGATTTTTTCCGGTTGTGTATTTTCAAATTCTAGCGCACTCGAGCTGGTTTCTCAAATGTACCTACCCTACCTTTAAACGTTGAGGACATACCATTTAAACAACTGACCAAACACCTGTCAGTATAGTCACACTTTTCCATGTATGTCTGTAATTGCGAGACTTATGTACCTGTCCCTTCAGACCTTGTTCTTTGAGCGTCTCGATGTCATCCCTGGTCAGCTTCTGGGATTTTCCATCATCTTGAATGTTCCTGTTGTCTGTGCCTGCCCCCTTTGTATCTGAGGATGAACACATAAAAGGAGACCACTCAAATAGTATTTTACAAGTTCATGCATACAGACTAGGAATACAATATATTAAATCACAAATAATGATGCCCTGAAGACATTAAAAGTGGCAGTTGTATGGCTCAATCATGGCATTGACTGTTGTTCTGTTTCCCAGCAGGTTACACACCGGTGGAGCTCTCTGGGTCTTTGGGCTTCCTTGGCTGCAGGATCCCTCCAGGTGCCAGCTCAAATGTAGTGCTGTACAACTGTCCCACAGCATTATCCAAGAAGAACCACTGCTTCTCAAAAATCACCTTCCTGTGAGTAGATCAAACAGACAAAAACAACACAAATCAACAGAAGGACATCTTTGCAGCATCCATCACACAGATGTTGCTATATATCACTTCAGATCTGTCCTTTAGCTAGCCCCAGTTTGTTCTTTTCATTACGATAAAATGACAAGAGCCATATATTTGGGGCTTATCTTTCCAGTAATAACAGTTTTGTACTTACTTCTTCGTTTGAATTTGCACAGCTTTGAAGACATCTCCTCGTTTCAACACAACGTAGTCCCCCTCTTTAATTGTGTACAGAGAGTCATCGTCTACGTTGTCCGCCATAATAAAGCCGGTTAAACCAGCTCGTCACTCAGCTAAGAAGTAACCGTCACCTTCAGAGAATAATACGGAATAGCCCTGACAAGGCACGGTTCAATAAGGCACTAAACCACCCTGAAGTAGAAGCAAAATACGGCAAATCACTATTTCCACGTGTAAGCTACCATTTCCCTAGCATCCCAGGACGACTAAACAATTGCAGATTGTTGAGCGTGCCATGCTTCATCATAGCACTCTGTGATTGGCTGGACAGGCGTCGCTGAGCTTGCTAGCCTGAAACATAGATTTCAGAATCATCGATCAACATAAATGTATCATTAAATGAAAGCTGCCCTTTCCTGTATCTAATGATACATTACATTACATTACAAAGAGAGAGTTACGATAGCGGAGGTCCAAAATGCTTGATCGTCACGTGGTTCAGAGACACTCAGAAAGTTCCCGGAAGTTCGTGGCGGGCCATTTGAATCACGATTTGAATGCATTAATAACAGGATATAAATGCAATTTTTGGTAATTAGTGGTCAATAAAGGTTTTGATTTGCAATATTTATACAACATATCGATATGTGTATGTAGTTACATCAATATGTTTTTTGTTTTTTTTTAAAAGTAAAATGTGCTAATATTTGAGGATTAAGATGCAATAAGAAGTACTTTATTGATACCAATTGGGGAAATGTTTACTCTGCAGCAGCAAAAGACAAGGCATTGTATGTACATTGATTAGACAGTTAAAAGACTAGAATTAAACAATCGAAAATGTAAACATCTTAAATAGAAATAAAATAGCATTACAAAAAGTAGAAAATATACATAGATAGTGTGAACAGCTATCTGACCTGTTAACATGTTAGGCTAACGTTGCCTTTGTTAAAGAGCCTGTTGCTGTTGTTTATTGCTTTGAATTCTTTAAAACAAATATTATCTTCTTAAACTTGTATGGTAGTCAGGAGCATCACATCCTAATGTTTATTGATATATTTAGAGGGAGGGGATGGGAAGGAAGGTTTCAAAATTCTGATTAGAATAATTTCTACCGTTTCTTTCATTCATGGTGCTTTCAGTAATCCCATGGTAATTGAGGACATAAGTAATCTAAATGACTAATGTAATCTTTATGACTTTCAGAAAGGACAGGAGACCAACAGGTGACTATCAATGATTGTCAACTGACAGCACAATGAGTCAAAGGACTAGCAGCAGCATGATGATGATGTTAAATGTGTTGTTTTAGGAACATCCATGTAAATAAATGGAATTCAATAAACATTGAATAGCATGTCATGCAGTTTGTCTGTGCCTTTTCCTCCGTGTTGTCCTGGCATATAGTCTCCCCCATGGTTTGCTGTGCTGCCTGGGGATGCTCCAAGCGCTCAGAGAAAGGAGTACAAATGTAAAGTGTCCCCACTGACACAGAGAGGAGGAAAGAATGGCTGGCTCAAGTCAGCAGGAGCAATTTAACTATCACAAAAAACAACAACAGCAACAAATATGTGAGGTAATCATATTTTTCACAAAACGAAGACCACACCATTGGGAAGCTTAATGTCTGTTTAATAAAAATAAGGAACAGGGAGAGGCTTGCAAAACTCTGGGAGTTGAGACTCAGGTGCAGGGTGAGGGTCTCATTGCAGGTCTTCAGGCTCCATTGAATCCCCCCTGGGGTTCTTTTGCTGAAAGAGGGAGACAAAGACAGGAGAAAGGGTTAAATCTAGCAACCTATAGGATTGGAAATGGCTGACCTATTTTAAACTTACCTTGTGTTTTCACTCTCACTTAAGTCCCTCTCCCTTTGCCATCAATCCAAAATCAGCTGAGCTGCAACATAATACAGACAGGTAATAATCAACAGAATCACAAGGACATTATATGACTCTGCTAAAAACACTCACTCATAAGTAACGTTTTTGTTTACTGCTTGGAAGTCTCAAATATGCACTCTAAATCCATATCAATAGCGATGTATCACACAAATAGCTCTTTTCCTTATTATTGTGTAACGTTAACTATAATATACTAGCTTGAATTCCAAAATGGATATCCTCATTTCACCACCTCCACCCACTACAATCACACGCCCCAATGTTATATTTAACTAATATTTAACTACCTCCACCCCGGATAAAAGCACGTTAAGAAGCCCTTTTTCTCTAATTCCACAACGTTGGATGAAATAACATTAGGAGAACGGATTAATAGGCTGTTCATGAACAGCCTATTAATCTTATTAATTAATGGTTCTATTATACGGCTCTGGGAAAGGGGACAGACCGTTGAGCCTTTGCCGACTTCCAAATCTTTTATACACATTGAACCTGTGGTTTAAGATTTATTGAGGTCATTACAAAAAGGTTGTTGGGGTGCAAACAAGGCAGATGTGTGACCATGTCGTCTCCCTGCTTGGGTGGGTGTGTTTAATTTCCCACCATGGGGCCTCAATCTGGTATTTTATAACTGCGTTTACACAATGTGCCAACTCCACCTGCAAGAGCAAAAGAGCAGCCTATACGCTGCGCAAGAAATAACAACATTTGGTCAAACTAAAATAAATGATGCAATCTGAGTCACTTTTTTTGACTCCCAAGTCATTTTCAAATGTTCCATCTACACAGTGATATTGTGAGCTCAGTGCAAACCTGTAAGTTGAATTAACGTTGTATTAAACTGGCCATTACTGTAGTATTTGCAGTATTTAGTTTCCTTGATGTTGAATCTAAAGCCAGCAGTGTTTCTGGAAGCACATTATAACTCATAGTTAATTAAATCCTTCTGATGAAGACGTTTTCATAATTCTCTTTTAATGTGTGGGTATAACTGTAAATGCATTCCATAATAATAATTTCAACCAACACAACTCAATACAATGAAATAAGATGACTTGATGACCTTAAAATCATTGTTGTATGTGTAGCAGCAAATTAAGAAATCTGAAACAAGTTGTGAAATACAAAAACACACCCTTTAATGATTGTTTACAAAATGTTTTTTTCTGTCTGAAAAATGGAAATCTCTTCACCTGGAAAAAAAAGCTTAATTCTTACAAATATCAACGCATACAGGTTTGAGAGAATCTTGACTACATATTTACATCAACGCTATTATTTCTTCTAGTGCAGGGTACATTTCTATGACTGTATGATGATAAAAATAATGATGCTACTGTTGTTCTGTGAGTGAAAATGTTACATTTACAGTGTACAGTATTACATTTTCTATTGCAATGGTTTGTTTAGTAATTAGGGTAACCATTGCGTCAGGAGATGAATGCTTTACTTTCACATTATACCACACGTAAATAAACAACAGATAAGAGAAACAGGCTTGTATCTCTCCTCATTCTTGGCCTCCGGTGAGTTTATGGAACAGTTCTTCGTCTAGCGTCTCGTTCTGATCTTTAGATCTTGTGGAGAGGAAGATGTAGCCGCCGATGAACTCGTGGACAACCTTGCAGTCACAGCTCAAACAGCAGAAGGCTATCGACACATTCTGGTCGAACTCTATGGTAACCTGGAATTATAAACAAAGGATTCATGTCTCAGAAGTAATACTGTGAAGCGGCAATACCCCAAGAAACAACAAGAGAGAAGTGAAGTAATATCATATGGCTCACCTGTCTTATCTCCCAGTTCACATTCCACTGCTTCATGTTGGCGAACCTCCATGTGGTGACAGGCAGACAAGAGGACATGTCGATACGAATCATACGGTTGTATGAGATCCCCAGAATCTCATCTTTCTTATTGCCTCTGAATCTGAAACACCAATAAAGGAACAACCAAATATCAATCATACTCAACATGTTCTCATTTATTTCTATGACCAGGTAAAACTCATGCTGAATTCCTGTGACTCCAACAAAGAGCTAATCATTTTAGGAGACTTTAACATAAACTGGAATGACAAACAAAATAGAAAGAACTTAAAACGGATCACCGATAATCACAACTTAATACAGCTAATGGATCAACCGACTAGAATAATCAAAACCTCTAAGACTATGATAGATTTATTATTTACTAACAAAGCTGACAGAATAGTTCAAACCTACAACTTACTGACTGGTCTTTCTGACCATAACCTTATTATTTTTACCAGGAAACTCACAAAAAAAAGGTTCATGGCCACACCTAAAACCCCTGCCTTCGGTTCTCGCTTCATCCCCAAAAACCTGCAACAACGTTTTATGGATGCAGTGAAAATGATTGATTGGGGGGACACTGTCCTCTGAAGACATTGGTGAAAACAGTAATCTGTTTATATCTAAAATTAATGATACAATGTCTTCCTTCTCAAGGAGAGGGTCAGTTAGGGACAGGAAGGAACATCATCTTCCCTGGCTGAATCTACAATGCAGGAATCTCATGAAATCTAGAGACCAACTATTGAAGCAGAGCTTGAAATCCGGACTATCCACTGACAGACAAAAATTCACTCATGCTCGTAATAAGGTAACACAAACAATAAGACAGGCCAAAGCGAACTTCTTCATCAACATAATTGAAGGTGCGAAAGGTAACGGTAAAAACGTTTGGCAAATCCTAAATAAACTATTAGGTAAACATACCAAACAGGAAAAAAAAATCAATGATGCCCTGATAAAAGACCCTGCTGTATTGGCCAACTCTCTAAATGAGTATTTCATAAATAGTGCTCTGGATATTACAAAGCTCTTCCCGCCATCTGAGGCCTCACCTATCCCGACTGTGGATACACACCCCGTTTTTGACCTGGAGGAAATCACAGAGGTTGAGGTAAAAAATATAATCTCAGGGTTAAGAGGTTCTAAGGCTAGGGATACAGATGATTTCGACACCAACTTTATAAAGACACATATCGACGGTCTAATAAAACCAATTACTATGCTAGTGAATCAATCTATCAGCATGAGTGAAGTTCCATCATCCTGGAAGGTGGCCACGGTGACACCGATCTTTAAATCTGGGGATAAGGCAATGATGTCCAATTATAGACCAATCAGCATCCTCCTTCCTTGATCTCAGGAAGGCTTTTGACACTGTTAACCACCAAGTGCTCCTTACAAAGCGGACTCATTTAAATTTTTCTGCAGTTTCTATACATTGGGTTAAGTCTTACTTATCGAACAGAAAACAGTGTGTTTCGGTCAACGGTGCCAAATTCCCCTACGTTGTCAACCCTGTTGGGGTTCCACAAGGTTCCATTCTTGGACCATTACTGTTTTCACTGTACATAAATGACTTGCCTAATGTATGTCCTGAGTTGAATGTGCAAATGTATGCCGATGATGCGGTCATCTTTATACACGGGAAGAACACTGAAATGATCTCATCTTGTCTCTCAAATGCTTTGGACAAGGTTCAACACTGGCTGAACAACATTTGCTTACAGTTAAACATAAAAAAAACAGTATGCATGATGTTCAGTAAACGACCAGTCAAAATCAAAGGATCCAATGTGTTTTTAAACGGAGCAGAAATAGAACTAGTCTCCCAGTTCAAGTATCTTGGAGTCAAATTGGACTCAAACTTGACTTTTAAGAAACATAACTTGCAACATTTTAAACAAATCAGACCCTTCTTAACTGTCAATGCTGCAAAGTCATACCTCCACTGCATGATTCTATCCCACATTGAATACTGTTTGACAAACTGGTCGTTTGCTTGTGCCACAAACCTGAAACGCATAGAACAGCTGTACAAGAGAGCTATCAAGGTGTTTGACAGAAAGCCATATTCATACCACCACTGTACCATCCTTGAAAAATAAAAGTATGCGTTTTATTTATAAATGTTTACATGGACTGCCCCCCCCTTAGGGGAATTCATCCACAAAAAACACACTGGACGCTGCACTGTGACTGTGAAGTCCATCGTAGACGGACCACTTTTGGTCAAAATGTACTTTCCATTAAAGGCAGCTCTTTCTGGAATAGCCTCCCAACTGAGATAGGGATTGTCCCACTCTCAATAGCTTTAAAGGTCAACTCAAAGAATGGTTGAGAAACAAACAGACGTGCAATCAAATGCACTTTAACACAGGGGTATCTCCTCTTGCACTTTAGGTAGCTCTTTTATCTTCTCTTGCACTTTATATGTCATTGCTGTTATATTGTATTACCATGTCATAAATACTTGTGTATGCTGCTCTTGCTCTTTTGCACTTTTTGCATATCATGTATTTTGTTTTTGCTATGTTTGTAAAATGTAATTTTCTTAAATGTTTTATGTGAGGGACTGCGGATGGAAATTAGCTCAAAGCTAAATCTGGCACTGTTACGCTTGACACATTTTTAATGTTTTAAATGTTCATCACTGTGCATTGTCCCTGCCAAATAAACGATTAAAATAAAATAAAAATAGATATGTCAACATAAATATAGGCACTGTACCTGACAATGTAGTAGTTGATACCAAACTCTGGAAGTGACTGCCAGGCCTGGATGAAGCGCATCTTAGCCTCCATTAGGGACAGCCGTGCTATGTTCTGATGGGCCTCCAGGATACGTGAAGTTAGCTTTCAAAGGCAGATTGAGAAATATATTAGATATAACAGCTGTGCAATGCTGATGGCTTTTGGCAAAGTCAAGAATACGTTACCTGTTTGGTCTTGTGCTTCTTGGTGTAGCGCGGGGAGAAAAAACATTCAGCATTCATATCCATGGATTCGATATCAGGAGCTGCCTGACCAGGAGGGGGTGCCAGGCTCTTCATTTGCAGAAATGACTGGATGTTTCTCACTTCTGACTTGTAGGAGCTGTAAGCCATTGTCTTGCCCTTAGAGGCCAAGATACATGCAGCTTTCCACTTGGCATACTGCGTTTCCTGGACAGTTACAATACGAGGCCGGGTTTATATTCACACACTTTACAGGGATTAGGAAGAAATACTCATTAAGAGGGGGGTCTTACATTGTCACATCGGATGTACACCTCATTCATCCCGTCAGCAACTGGGAGCAGGAGCTTGATGCCGAACTTCTTGTCAGTCACGTTGACATCGGGGACTACCTCACAACCTATCACAGAAGAGATAGTAGTTAATTTAACAACAGAAGAAGAGCAGCATGATACAGATCTGCAAATATTAGCATAGAATATGTTGAACTTTATATTTGGACTGCGGTAAAACGCATAAGGGACTGACCTCTCAGGTGAAACTGCTCTATGGGTTCTCCATTGGACATCTCCTTGTTCTTGTAGTAGGAGATTGTGGTGTCCTTGAAAACAAACCAGTACTCTTTGTACTGCCGCAGCGTTAGTCTTTTTGGCCTGATTTAGGACAGAAAGAAAGAAAAACAAACTTCTGTTTTTTGGCTGCAATACAGGTCACCTTTATACTTCTGAGTAAAAGACATTAGAAGTTTATGAGACAGTAAAATATCAATTTCAGCGGGGTATTTAACATTTAATTCGGTTATTTGACATAACATCTTCATGTGATAGGAACAAAGGTGGGTTTACCTAAACAGCCGGAGGGATTCTGCCAACTCTGGAATATCTGTAATGTCTTCCTGGGGGCGGGACAAACAACTGTGAATTATCCTGAGTCTTCTCCTGACATCACCGTGTTAAGACATGCAATCATCGGAGGCCTACCTATCACTCCTGCTCAAAAACAGGTGTTCTACTGTAACAGACCTAAAAAACGTTCAAATTACAGTTAATATTCACTCCAGTGACTTATAAAATATATGTTTACCAGAATTCTGTCAGGGAGTCCGCCTTCAAGTGTCGTCTCCAAGTTGGACAGAGCAGCTTCTACTTCATCTATTTCTGGTTCGTTGGAGTTGTCCATTGGTTCACTTGAGATGGTCAGTTTGCAAATATGATACTGAAAATGAAATAAAAAGAAAGCTTTTGACTCCATAAGATGAAAACTACTAACTGACTAATATATTATCAAGTACAGATCATTATGACTTGAGGGGTTATGCAAGGCAGTCGTGACTCAGAGTGGGCCAGCCGTTGCACCCATGTGTAGGTGAGTGCAAAAATGATCTCATTGAATCACTGTGATTTCTGAATCACTCGCCCAACAGTTGCAAAATAACAGCTGAGCGGATCAGAGATGGCCGGATACTTAGACACAACTAAAACTTTACCACAGTCTATATATTTACAGCAATTATTTCTCTGATGGGGAACTATAATCCTACTTTTCCTGTAACTCATAGTTCTCTTTCTCTCCTCCCACCATCCTTCTCCAGTGGGATTTTCCTCAAGCCCTGACACGTCCTTACATGGATTTAGACACATACCTAGAGGGATACTATTCAGAGGTCCAAGACACCCCTATACTGTACTTAAAGCTAATTTATGCAACATTAGCGTGCCTCTTAGACCACATTACCATTCTGAGAACTCTGGTTTGACAATCACAAGCCACTTTAAATCAGGATTGCTATAAGATAGTTTAGTTCTCAGATTAAAACATGTATGCACCTGAATGTTTGGTAGCTTTGAGTTAGATGAGGCATCATTTTAAGTACTAAGAATTTGACTGTATTCTGTTATACAAACCGGACCTTATTTCACTTCTCCAACTGCATGTTGTTTACCTGTAATGAAGCAAACATCAGCATTTCCTCCTCAGTGCAGTCTATCTCCTCCAGCAGAATGGACCAGCGAGCTTGTTCGTACAGCTGTGTTATTCTGACAGCATCGTACTAAAACACAAAAACCTACACTCAAATTCATTTCAAAATGGCGTTAATTTATTTTTCAAGGGATACATTTGGGGGTGTCTTACTTTAGGATTGAGGTCAAAAAAGACATTATACTTGAAGCGAAGCAATAGCTTTTCCTCATCTTGAATGTCTTGCTCCATAAGAGAACGAGACGAGTCCAACCACCTGTCAATCATATTAGCGACAACCAATTAGAAGGCCTATCGTCTACATTACATTACGCTGCTAGTTTTAAATAAATAAGCAAATAATGAACTGTATTTGTATCTACCCTGCACTGTTGACTGCTTTGTCCACCAGCTCCAGCGGATGGTACATCTTGGCCAGCTCAGCAGGGGGCAGGTTAGGCTGCGATTCGGCCAGAGGGTTATCTCCAAACCAGAGGCTCGTGGCAGACACCGGCATCCCGTTCTCTGGGTCGTAGGTGGCTGTCATTGTCTTGCTGTACATGGGGCCTAGTTCAAAGAGAAATGTAGATACTTTTACATTTTAAAATACTATTAAAATCTGATTCGCCAAAAGGAGTGGGCATACTCTCTGAAGTTGAGGTCAACTTATCGTCAGATTCTAGAGGGCATAACAAACTGCAAGCCTGACAGATCCCCGCAGCACTATATATAGAAGTTTCTAATTTCTTCTCCTCCTACAGTAGAAGTAACTCATTGAAATAAAGATGCTATCCATTTAAGTGCTGGGCATAACATACATTATGAATCTTCTTCTCACCTAATTTGAGTAAATCTAGGCTGCTTTCCAGCAATTACTGTGATGCAGCAACTACGCTTTGTTGATACATCTATTTTTGTCTGCAGTGAAAAAGATCAATTCACCTTTAGATACAAATGTGTTAAATACATGTAATCAAATGATTGAATCCTTTAAATCATCTGCAACAAACATACATTAAACTGCACTGTTTTCTGTAATGTATTGTCTTCATTGATAAATTAGCAGGCAGTCCAGAGAAAGACCATATTCTATTTCAGTAAACAAGTTGTTATTATGGTGGAGGCCAAAATTAGAATGCAGCCCCAAACTATGACAAAATATCCAAGAATAAGGCAAGTTTAATAACAAAGGGAATCTTCAGGAAACATTTCAATTTGTTTCTAGCCAATGCATCTACTCCCTTTTGTATAAAAGTTTTACGCTACATTTTTTTTCCGACATGCTGCACATTTCTTTTATAATCAGATTCTGTGCTTATATACTGTGAAACCTTTTTGTTTAAAGCCTTGTTAAGAATCAGTACCTGTGCCTCCTGGTCCCCCGCCCGCTAAATCGATGTCCCAGATGTCCTCCTGTGCCGAGTTCTTGCTTTTCTTCTTCTTCTTCTCTGGAGGCTTCAGCAGAGACAATTCCTCTGATCTTCTGATGTCTGAGAGGGAGCAGGAACAGGGGAACAGTGTGAAGAGATCAGGGAGAATATGGAAGGAAGGTGAGTCAGAGTTATAGATAAATCATCTAAAGTCACTGAGACTGAGACAAGTAAGGAGAGAGAAACTCACTGAGTATTCGACAGATCTCTGACACTGCCTTAAAGACGACACTGGAGAAGCTGACGGTCAATTTGATGGTTTTCATATTGGGGAGCTGCAGCAACAGGGGTTTGTGCTGGGGTGTATAGCGCAGGTTAGCATCTGCCTGTGTAATAAAGAAAAGTTTTTTCAACCACACCTGCAAAATCAATATTTATTCCCTTTCCTTTTTTATTTTGCTGATTAGATTGCAACCTTAGCTGGTGTTAAGGATCTTCTAATGTTATTGAAATGTATATACACAAAGAGTATAAAAGATAGACACCAAATATAGACAGTAAGTCTGTTTTTGAGCAGAAATGATGCATAAATGTGCATTACACACATTTTTTCCTTAATATCTCCCTAATATTAATTTGGTTGTTACTCTTTGAAAGTGAGCTATTCACCATATTTATTTAGAGATTCAAGCCTTAACAATGCTTGTCACAACATGTGCTTGAATTGAAATCACTGTTGGCCTAACACACATACACACACATAATTGACTTATTATGACTTAGACTCGAGTACTGCAGTGTGCCATTGACATTTAACTAAATGTTTAGACAGACATTTCCTTGACATTTTGAATTGTTCTTGGAAATAAAATATTGAAATGAAAACATATCAATGATCAGCACAATTCTAAAAACACTTAAGTCTTAATTACCTGAATTCCATACTTGTCCAAGGTCCAGTGTGTTTTGAGCAGCCAACATTTCCTCTGTTCCCACCACAGTGCATGATCTGACCAGTCCTGAGGAGCCTCTGCAGACAGACACATTAAGTTAAATACATGTTACTGTCATATCACATGTTTAAAGGGTATTGCACTTCCTGTACCTGTTGTGTGGGTGGCTGAGCATGAATAAAGTCTGGTTTTATGAGTCGACCTGACGTCATGTTATGGTGCTGTGCTTTAATCCGTCTGTTGATGACAGCCTATTTAGTCATCTATTTTGTCTCACACCACCTTACTGTTGCCCTCACTACATTAGCTCGTCTGGATTTATGTAAAGAGATATCAGATCAGATCCTGGCTGAACTTTGGCCCCTCGGGCTATGCAAGCCAATGCATTGTGGCAAAACAATGGCACTACAGTGTAGAAAAATGCAGGGCAAACAAGGGTGTGGCTTGACTAACAGACTTAATATGGCAGCAGGGGCAGGGACTGTGTGCCTAAAACAAAGTCAAATGTAGTATGCTTTTACCAGGTAAACAAACCAAAATTGAATCCGACAGATTACATTATGACAGTTATACTGAGGCACTTACTGATCTTCTCCACCAGTTTAAGCATCAGGCCTCCAATGTGCAAGTCTCCCTTCACCCTCAGCTTAAATTTCATGGACTCATCTCCAGCTTTTTGATCCACCTGCACGGACAGCTCCCATGATGTTTCTCCATACTCTGCGGCTTTGATCATGGCCTTGTTCTAAAAGGAAAGAAGTGCATAGATTATAGACTGGAAGCTCCTAGGTGTAATATTGCCGTCAAAGAAGCACAACAAAAGGAATACGGGAAGTAGAAACCTCCCACTATCTCTGATTAATCCCATAGAAGGGGAATTCCGATAAAATATGTTGACTCTTTTCTTGCTTTCTTTTGTTTGGAAGATTAGGAAACATCTGGTAAAAACAAAACATGAATCAGCGGATTAAGTGTTTCTCAACATCCTGTGGGAACATCCAAATTAACTTGGCCAACACTTAAACAGATCTCTCAGTGTTTCTTTTCCAAATCTTCTTAATGCTTTTCCCGCAGTATCTCTGCAATGATACTGCAGCCCCTGAAGTACTCGCCTCTCAGCCGATACATTTATAAATAAGATATCAGGGAACACACAGACTGGCAGATGTACAGGCTGCTGCCAGCAGGATATAGACGAGACCGCAGAACACACAGTAAACAGAAGAGATGTAACACAGCTGTACGGCTCTGCCCAGACAAGTAGAAGTATACTGGAGGATTCATATATTTGATAAAGAGGGAATGGATGGAAGACATCAGGCAGGTACAATATAAGAAAGAGGAAAAGAGTGGAGGAGGAGCAGGGAGGGTAAAGCTGTGGAATGTGTGACGAGCAGGGACACGAATCTCCTGCAGGGACCATGGCAAAACAACAATCTCCACACACTGCACCAATCTTTCTTTATTTCACATCTGAACTATGAAAGTGTTGTGAATAAAAAGATCCTCTCACACACACACACACACACACACACACACACACACACACACACACACACACACACACACACACACACACACACACACATACACATACACATACACATACACACACACACACACACACACACACACACACACACACACACACACACACACACACACACACACACACACACACACACACACACACACACACACACACACACACACACACACACACACACACACACACACACACACACACACTCGTGAAGACTGGGGCTATCAACAGAAATACCTGTTACATTTGTCCTGGGTAACCCAGTGGTAATGTATACTGTGCGAAAATGTGTTGCCGCAAGGCTAGGTTTAATGAACACATTCTGCTCTCGTTGTGCTGCTCCCTCTCTATGCAGCTGTAGGGTACAGTTCAAAATGTTTAAACTTGCAAGTGTGTGGGAAGGCTTGTTGAGATGTGTTAGAGCGTGATGAATTGGCCCCAACAATAATACACTATCTGCAAAAAATACCAAAAAGTTAGGGAAGGAGAGGTGATGAAATCCGGGTCAAAGCAATATTCAAACAACATAAAATAATATCTGTTTTTTCCTATAAAATATACATACGTTTAAAGAGCTACTGTACTCATTACCTTAAAAAGCTAACCATTGTGAATAGTGAAAATCTACAATCTCTGATTTACAGGTGTTTACTCTCCAACCAAAAGTGCATTAATTCAGTGTACCCATTTAATAATGTAGCAACTACAGGAATGCAGCACTGGAAAATGAACAACCCCTTCTTTACAATACAACTACACACATAGGCTACTACTTTTAAAAGACAAAAGTACTGGGTATCTCTTGTTATTGTAAAAATCAGTCATAGAGTTTGAAATTAATAAAAGAAACATGATGACAGTTAACCCTGTAGTGTGGCCACAACTATCAAGTATCAGGCCTTACTGTTGAACTAAAGATATAAAAACAGCACTAGTGTTCAGTTTTAGAATTTACAGAATAGAGTAGACAACGGTGTCAGACCAGCCCTAGTATAGCAATAATAGTACAATTAAGTCCTAAAAAAATTAAGCATTAACTTTCTTCTATGTAAGACCACGGATAGATAACAAGTCTCCACTGTAAGCTACCATACACAATCAAATGGTTTGATTATTTGTCCATGTGAAGTCTGCCTTATCAATCCCAGCATGATATTGGCCATTAAAAAATTAACAAAGTTAAGACTCTGAAAACAAATCTTACCTTGATTCAAAGTTTTCTGCTGGTGAGCTATTCCTATAAATTCCTTGTGAAGTGGAATGAACCAAATGAGGCTCCTCCAGGAGTAAAACACGCCCCGTTCAGACAGGTAGAGGAGGCGGTACCGTCAGAGGAAGTGAAGTCAGCAAGGTGGGTTTGTTTATAGTCTATGGTTTGTTCACAAGCCGGTGTTCACAACATGTATAATGTCTGAAGCCTGTTTAACAAATGAAACTGACTTCTGCAGGTCATGTTAGTTGTATCGTAGCTACTTCAATATAGTACTTTTATCAAAATCCTAGCTAATTAACTCTTCGTGACAGACTGAGCTCACTATGGTGCACTCTGCCATGAGTAGGCTAACTACCCAGAAACTAGCTAAACATGTTCCACATAGCTAATGCTAATATTGTCTGCCTTTTAACTTTATGACAACTTAGCAGTAAGCAGCAAGCTAATGTAACATGGTGATAAATAATGACTTGGCCTATTTAGCATAACGAGAACTAGATATTATGTTTGGAGTTTCTTTCAGTGTAGGCCTATCATATTTTAAATAATAAAACATGTAAAACAAAAGCACAAACAGATGGAAGTTAGCAAAAGTTAGCACAAGTAATTTTTTTCTGCACACCTATGTCTTTAACCTCACTAAAATAAAATGAGCAGTTTTATTTTTAAAAGTACTGTAGGCCTATGTGTACAACAACACCTTTACGTTGTTTGGTCAAACAATGTCATACTACTTCGTTCTAATACCTAATGGTAAACTACAAATGTAGTTTTATCTGTGTGTTTCACTGGCTAGATGTGACTGACTGATTGATGGATTGATAGCGACTGGAGTTATGTTAGCTATAATACATATGCATAAAGTTATAAATGAATGTAGAAGTCCACCAACTTTTCACAGAATATTTAGTCTACTTGTAATTGGGAGTGACTTTTCTGCCTGTGGCTGATTACTGTCGCAATTTTGGGATACCCCTTTAAGAAACTAACAAACAAATTCTAAATGATACAATGGAGAAGTTAGTTTTTCAAAACCGTTAAAATCAAATCTCCTGATGACACAGCAAAGAAAAACAACTCCAGTATCCAAATCCAAACCTGAAAGGGATTGGAATTGGATACTCAAAAGTTGAATAGTTGTGTTTTTGCTCCAGTAAAGGTGGATTTAAAGAGACAGGCCCACAACATGATGAGTAATAGTTTACCTAAGATTCATCAGCCCACCTTCCTTAATGCCCACACCCTGTCTAATGAGTTAATTAGGATGAATCACTTGAGTCTGTTTCCACATAATGATATTGCCAGCGTCATTTTGTATATTTAATACGTAGGTGTGTTTCCTCAGCAGTATGGACCTTCTTTCTGTTACAAACACTCAGGTGGAGCCCATGTATGAAGCCTGCCACCCTCTGGTTTCCATTGGTAAAATCATACAGTATCTTTGATACTAAGCTGGTGCGAAATGCAAACTTTGACTAGATGTGGATTTCATACATACTCATGTATTCAGATGGTACACATACATGAGATTACAGATGTTACTTTGGCTTTTAAGACGGCTCGCTCTGTATTTTAAATGAAAATTCACTGTCAATTCTGAAAGAAAGTCATCAATTCCAAAACTGCCAACACTTTAGTTTATACACAAATTCAATGTTTCAATCATTGACTTTATTCAGGTGTAATGTATTTTTTTCCCTGTGCACCACTCCACAAGATGTGCAATAACTCCTAACGTAAGTGCGAAATTGTTGGAAGGGAAAACATTGAGAGTGACGGAGATATAAAATAACTGTACTTTAAATGTCCATGATATTATTGCTACCTCTACTTTACCAAGCAGTTAAAAGGTCTGTTATTTTTGTCCCGGTGGAAACTACAGTTTTAGTTTATTACTCATTTTATGGTCATTTAATGGGCAATAAGCTATTAGTCATACTGTAATTGGAAAATAATAGTCACATCACAGTCCTATTCATGGATATCTATAAAAGCTTCAGTCTATTTGTATTCAAGAGATCCTTCTGCATGACTGCCTTCACCTGCAGAGAGACAATTATTAAGACATTTGAACACATTTTTCTGTTAAATCAACCGAAAGATAAATGAACTAAATCTTAGAACTATTAGTAGACAATATACCTTAAAATGTTCCATTGCTGCCACACAGTGGCGCCATTAGACCACAAAAGAGTTGTAGGAAGGAAAGATATAGTTGGTGAACCAGGTTTAAAAGAAAGACGCTCTTCTTGTCTTTAGCTTGGAAACATTCCAGTGTTGCTTATACTTTTTATTATTTGACATGTGTGTTTGGCTTGAACAGAACCATAAAGGTGCTGTATTGAACAAATTCAGGTCTGTCTTGAATTTAATAAAATGTTTTAAAATGATCTTCTATAATTATTTATTTTCTAACTGGCAGAAAACGAGATGCCAATTGCCAAATATAACACAATAATAGGCATTATTTTATATTCACTCAATTAGTATAATGTCATTAGCTCTCATGGCTGTTCTAGATTGCGATTATGAAAACATGCCACATGACAACTTGTGGACATCTTTTTAATTGGAGGCTTTTATACTTTATTGATTAAGTGAAAACCTTGTTTCTCTATTTGTCCCATCCAGGGAGGACCAATACCAGTGTCAGCTGCAGAAGAACACCCTAAGAATTGGTAAGGACATTTCTGGTCTGCATGTTTGGTGCACGCCAACATGAGGTCTTAAGCCTCTGCTCTCCAGTTGAAGGACAGTTTCTCTGACCACTTGATCATTTCGACCACACCCTGCAGATTTAGTGTAGCAAACATCCCTGTGAGTCTGTCTCGGCTCTCTGTTCCAACTCAGTCTTCAGTGCTGGCACACAAGGTTGTCTTGAGTCCTTGTGTAAGACAGGAAATATAAATTCCATGACAAAAACAAACAAATAAACCCTGAGCCTCATAAACTCTGTCATTGGTGGAGAGACACATGGAAAATAACATCATTCGGAGCTGTCAGGCCTGGATGGAGTACAGACAAAAGTAACACCATGTCCATGTCATCATGACACCTGTGGCCCTAATAGCAAAAAAAGCACAAACAGTCCAAGCTAAAGGAAAGCACAAATATCATGTAAGCTTTACTAGAGTGCCTGGGAGAATGATAAAGTGCTTCTTTAGAGTGATGAGGAGAGAGAGAAAGAGAGGGGGGGGAACATTTTGGACTGTGGTTTTAGACACAATAAATTACATCTACTGCCTGAAGCTGGTCTGAACCTACTTGGAAGCGGGTGGGAAACAACATCTGTAGAAGCCTTTGCCGGCTTTCTGTATTTATGGAAAGAGAAACCTCCTGGTGACCTGGGAACACGCTTACCCAATTAGCAGCCTCGCCGACGGATCAAATGGAAGTGAAAACATTCACTGCCGTGACGGAGACTCATCACAATGCCCCATTCATGCTGCTGAGCCCCATGCTTTTGGGGTGATATTGGGTGGGGGGTTGTTCTTCTAGAGATCTAGTGGGGAGGTAGGATAGGCGAAAGGGAGTAATGAATGCAACTAACCTACCTCACCACCTTCTTTGACGTGTCAATGGAGGCCTCATCCATGACTTAATTTGGGTACGGAGATAAACACTGTTCAAAGGTGTTTTCACAAGGTAACCCACCACTGCTCACCTCCACGTTCCACATCCCCTTCACCTCAGACCCTACATCCCCTTGGACGCTCCTACCTCCACAACCCAACAAAACCTCGGGTCTTATCCTGTGGGAATAGGACTGAAGGGGTCAGGAGGCCTGAGAAACAGCACCGCGAGAGAGGCTCTTGACAGCACGGGGCTCTGGGGAGCAAATGCTACACTGCAAAGTGTTGCAGCTCTGATTCATTTTCACCCTTCAAACCCTCCTTTCTTTTGTTTCTTACTTTCTTTTTTTGAGTGGGATTTGATTTATCCTTAAACCACTGACCTCCATAGCTACCATGAAATTCCATACCGGTTCCCGTTTAAATAGAAAATAAAACTGAAGAAAGGACAACCTGCACCTGGCAGGTTATTTGTTTTACAAATGTCAGTGAAATGTGACATTCAGTCGTGATGAGAGTCTAGCAACACAGGTGTGATGGTCAAAAGAGGATCTATGACTTAGAGCAGAGTGATTGACTAAATACATGGTGTATGTGTTGACAAAGGTGCTTGTATTTGCCTAAATATTAAAAACCTGTCCTGTGTAATCCTTGCACTGCTGTGAAGGCTCGGTATAAAGGCTCCTTTATTTCTAAAATTAATTGTTTGTTTATAAGGGTGGAGCAATAGGTGCTTCAGTAAATGGCGTCTTATGCTTGTGGATGTTTCCATTGAAGCCTATAAAGATTTTACCAATCCGGGAGCAATGCTATAAAAATTCTAAACACAGAAAAAGGTTTTTAAAAATGAAAAAGAAATGTAAACATGCATAAAGATCATGCATTTTTAAATAGATTTACATTTTCCATCTGACACAGCCAAGACTGATATTCCTTTCTTCCCCTGTTCAGCTCTCCTTGAGTGGAAACATCTGATAGAAATAAAACTTCTCATGGTGTCAGGTCAGATAGCCATAAATACAGGTTGTCAGTGCAGTGTGACCCTCGCATCTAGAGGAGAGGCTGTTCTGAACTGTGGGTTTGGAACAGGATATCACATGTTTAAATATTGCACTTCTTTCTGAAGAGAGGCTACTGTAAAACAACTTCCATTACAGAGTATCGCTTTACCTGTCACCGGCAGTATTTCATCCCTTTGCTGCCCAGAAACATAAAAGATCTAGATGAGCACAGCCATATGGAGGGTGATCATTCACCTCAGGCAGATTCTCTTCAAGTCCAAAATTGAAGACAGATAGATGGGTTTTTTCAGATGTTATTAGGATTTCAATGTCCTTCATGTTAGTCTGATGAAATGCTGTCCCTCAAATCTAACTGTCTGTCTTCATCCTTTTTTGTCAATTTAAGCAGTTGTGCATGATTTGTGTTCCTGTTTGAGTATCAAATGTGTTGAATGTAGCCATATGCAATGCTAAGAATTATATAGGGTTTGTCAGAGCACTCACAGACACAGTGGGAACACTGCTATATTCTCTGAAAGATAAAACACTACCTTTTCTTGCAGGTCCTCTACGCAGAGGATGTTGGGTGTTGTGGCCACATGTGTGCGGAAGATGCCGTCCAGCCACGTCCTGTGCTACAGAGTGGCTCGGCAGAAACACCCCTTAGCCCCAGCCTTGAAGTCACCGTGACTGATCTCACAGGTACGGCGTAAGAGGAAGCGGGGCGTTGTGTTCCTTTCCTCCTCACATCAATTTGCTTACCGGTTGTGAATGGGTGCCATTTTAAAACATGCAAATGTGAGTAGCCTCTGCCTGTATCAGCTGATGGAGGTCAGTGTTGTTGTTGGCCGGGCCTTAAAGGCCTGAGGGGAGAAAGACGTACTGAGAGTTAGAAAAGGTCGCATAAACTCTAGCGGGATTACTTTACCAACACTTTCCATGGCTGAGATCCTGTGAATGGATCCATTGTGGGGTGGGTCTATGCTCGCGGAAAGCAAACCCTGTCAGGATCCAGTTCATTAGCACCTAGTTTACTGTTTGAAGTTAGTTATTTATCCGGTGTCTAAAGGGAAACCCCGTTCAGACATATTCAAGTGTGTGTGTGTATGTGTGTGTGTGTGTGTGTGTGTGCTTGTGCGTGTATCATGCGCAGGCATGTTATGTGTACTTCTACAAACGTACTCATAGGATCTACAGGGGGGTTTCCAGAGCAAATTGCTCAAGAGCAAATAAAACTTTCCATGGTGCAATAAAATGTATGGAGAAGGAACAGGAGGGACATTGGTGCAGCTCTGAAGGTGGGAAACAACCTTGACATTTTGTTGAAAAAATATATACATAAGGGTTTGAGATATATATGTTCTGACAGCCTTTGACCTTGACTCGCAAGCATAGGAAGTTGGACATTTTTAGGACGCACTTCGTGAAAAATGAACAATGGCATTATATTAGCATACATTTAGCTATTCATCAAATGTAATAGGTGTTAGTAAACATACTTAAAACAGTGTTGGAACAAAACTGAAGCAGCAGTAGTCCGCCCTCTTCAGAGTTATTCTTCTGTATTGCAAACTATCAAGAGAGTGTGCCTGTGTTTTCTCTTTTTCTTTTGTGATGTGTTTGTTCTTTGGAAGGCATCCACTAGCCTCATGGTCAGACAAAAGTGCCGCGTTGAGCAAAACCTCCACTCCACTTTTATGGTCTATGTGGGCCGTCCTATTTGTACATGCTTAGAGCAAATTAGACCAGCAGCTGTGCATGGCCGTCCCATTCCATGTTGGCTTTTCGTGATAAAAATATGCTTCGGTAAACCTCGCAGCTTGGAGCCAGAAATACACGGCCCCGTTTCTTCTGGCGCTGACACCTCTCCATATTTACAATAAGCACTTCCCTTTTCCGGCATCAAAAGAGAAGGACACAAGGAGACAGAATAGAGGAGTGGGAGTAAATGAGGGGGGTGGAGAGAGAAAAAGAGGGGGGTAGAAGGAAATAGAGGGACCACCTATGCAGATGTTTTCCACATGTAGAAGGAAAACAAGCTGCAGCAAGATGAGAATGAGGAAAGGGAAGAGAGCACCCTGCACCTGTTGTGGGGTGATGATCTGGCCACGGGTGACATCAGTCCTCGTAACGTGTCCCGCTGCCTGAGTCATTAACCAACTACAAGCCAGGGAAGGCTCCTTGTACGCACTTTGATGTAGTTTGAACATTTAAATAAAATAAACAATTGTACAGTTTATTTCTAATGCAGAGTGATTTAAGTGTTGAGAGAGAATTGTCGGTCTGTAAAACAACATTGTTGGTTTGGTTTTGACCGTTTGAGGGGCTGTATATTATGTAATAAAATGCCAAAAGAATATCTTTCTATATATATATATATATATGTATGATAACACCTTCTAAACATTTCCAAATGGTAACAATCTCCATTTAAAGAAAAACACTAATGCCTTAATATAAAAGCATATCTTAACATCTGGGGCCTTTTTTTTATTGAAATATGAAGTTCATAAAAATACATGAATGCAGAGACTTTTCAAAAAAAGAAAAGAAAATGGCAACCTGTAATGAGAGCACCTGTTTGTACCTGAACCCGGCACCTGCGTGAGCCTGGATGGGAAATGAAGTGTACTTTACATTTTAATATTTAAATCAATATCTAACACCTGCCTCATTTCCATTGGTCAGTCAAGTCTCTCTTTATGCCCTGGGACAGTTGGTAATGATGTTTGGTAAATATAATTCCTGACAGTGTGACAGGAATAAGGAATAGTCCTCGCTCGGAATTGAGTTCTTAGGCTAATCATCCGTGATTACAGCCTTGGAAGCCAAAACACACTCCATGTGAAAGAGGTTGTTTTCATCTGCATGCTGCTGGCTGACAGTTACCTATTCTCCTGAGGGCTCTCACTCTCCTTCTGCCTTTTTTGGACTGGCCTGCGGCAGGTCTCGTAGCCCCCGGGGACTGTCCTGGGAGACCTGGACAACATTGGCAGCAAGCGGTTTAGCGGTGTCATTTCGCCGCGGTAAGCCATGGACAAAAGCATCTCTTGTTGTCGCAAGCTGTACGTGGTGTTGCTTTCCCAGCCCTGTGGAAAGGAAAGGACAGCCAATGACCAATGCCAAACAAACCTGCTCCAGCTCACCTGTGCTGTGAATGTGGAACCGAGTGACCCAGATCTGGATGGAAACCATTGCAAATATTTCCCAGCAAGGTCTGTGGAAGAAGCATTTAGAAGGGCCTCTCAGCAGGGAATTTAACTAACTGTAAATGACTGCGACTCCAAGTTTGTGTCATCTGTTCCTAAGAAGTAGTAAACAGTCGGTTTACTATCAAACCGTTCAACACATAGCTCAGTGCGATGCAAAGTGTGGATTGGAGTGCAATAAAACGTCAATGCCTGGAAGATTGTGTGTTTACCTTGTCACTGGTGGAATAATTCATTGCACAACAGAGCATGTAATGAGTATGATAAGAAGCAGAGTTGTTGTTGATGAGCAGCGAGTCTGTTTATTGCCTTGGCCGTGCGGTGCTGCTGGCAAGGCAGACCTCTTTGCCCAAAACTACAGCTCAGTTTAGAAGCGTAAGCCACGCTACAAATATTTGGCTTGGCCACAGAAATTGAATTATATTGGCACAGAAAGCCGAGAAATAAATAACAGCAACCTTGGGAACAATTATGCAAAGTATAACGCGGTCAAACCAAGTGCTACTGTTTTTCCTTTCCATCCAAAAGGAAAAAAAGGAAAAACATCTGCTTTAAGTTTATCTTCCTTTTCTAAATATGTTTGAAAGCATTTATCCTTGTGGTGAAAGATTGAGCTATTTCTCATTTGTGTAGTTTTGTATAGCTTTTTGGTGTTACACACAGCCTTAAAAGTGAGCACATCTTTTAGGGAGTCACATGTGAAGCCAAAGCTGTGGTGACTTGATGGACCATTTCAACCACGGATAAACCCTCATAACAAACAGTATTTAATAAATGGTCTATCTGTTTCCTCAGAGCAAGTTTGGCTCTGACAACATAAATGTCATTTGAGATAAACAGTAATTATGTCTGCTTCTGCAATAAGATAAAGGGTGATTTATTCATCTGTTTAAGTAATCATTTATTTGTCTATAATCCGAGTAATACAAAATAAAAGGCCAGCAGTGTTATGGTTGATATGGAATTGGTACAATACACCCATTCAAGAGCTTTTAACAGGTTACAGAATAGTATTGCTTGTTTTTACCACAATTTTGGGTTTGGCAACTCTGACGTAGCTGTGTAATGTTTAGACTGACAGTGTTTTGCTGACAGTGTTCAAGTAAGATTAAAGTGTCACCACCAATGACAGCCAACAGGCAAACGAATCTCTTCCTCTTTATTTGGAGAGAACCTCTGGACAGGATGCAAAGTCTGAGGTGGCTAAATAAACTGTAATTAAAGCCACAAGTATACACAGCAATGCAAATCAAACAGCAACTATAATATTATCCTGTAAATTATGAAAACTATAAATGCACTGTTGAGTAGGTATAATATACATATTGAGTTAGTTATGAGGAACATTTTGAGTTGTTAGAGTCAAGTCCTTTTAGAAAGATTTTAGGCATATTATTCAGTGCTACTTCAGACCGTTACTGCTGTATTTACCATTAATGCTGTGTGTAAACAACGCTTTAGCCTGCCAACACTGGGGTTGATGCTGTCCTAGAAACCAGAGGACAAGTTCAATATTTTTGGATGGCTAGTATCCACCTTACTTGCTGGCATTGAACATTGCAACTAAGAATTATTGCAAAGACTGCTAAGGCATTGAGTGTTTATTTGGATACCATTAGGAATGCTTAAGCTCCACGCTCTACTAACCATCATAAAATAGGGTTATTGGCTTTTATAATGGCCTAATAAGTGGAACATTGACTGTTTTCTCTCATTAGCCATTGAAGCCCCACCTGCAGGAAACACAAACTCCATTGCTCTCATTGACACAAACACGAACGCGGCTAGCCAGCTAGCTAGCTAACCATCATGCAAACCTTTTAAGCCGGCTTTGTTTGCTCACAGCTGAGGCTCAAAAGAAAGGCAGGACCAGTGCAGAAAAAGGGCCAGCTTTGACAATTTTCACACAAAGGGAGCACTGTTGGCTAACAGTGAGCGGCCTGTTTCTGGGAGGTTTGCACTGTTCCTGGGACCCATTTCATGGAACAGTTAGCAAGGCCAAAGGCAACCCGTGGACTGGAGTCATAGTTAAGGCCTTCGGGGCCAAACCTGGGTCTGGCCCTCTGGCTCTCCCCTCTGTCCCCCGCCCAGTTCAGAAGCTTTAACAAAGCTGACTGAGGACGCTGGGTTCTGCAGGTGTCCTCTCATAAAGACCCACATCACATGGGCTGGTGGACTGACTGACTGAGTTTGTATGCTTTGTTTGTTTTTTTCCCACACAGGTGTTGGAGAAATCAAGACAATATATTATATAAGTGCCATGATTTCAGTATAAGTCTAGTTGAATTATTAGTTGTTATAATTATTTTATATTTATTTTCTTTAAATAAGCAGTCAGTCTTCAGTCAGAGAAACTGTTTAATACTGTGTATGGTACCATAACATGTCAATGAACTGCGTGTGGATTTAATAAGAATATGGTTGGCTTCAGTGGTCTTAAATGTCAAGGAAGGTGT